ATCTATAGATTTGTTATTGTTAAATGCTGTTGAGTCAGTTTCGACTCATAGTGCCCTGTATAGGGTTTCTAAGGAGTGGCTGGTGGGTTGGAACCATCAACCTTGTGGTTAACAGTCCAGTGCTTATCCTACAGCACCACTCCAGGACTCCCCAGATCAATAGATAGATACCTATAGTCTTTAAAAATTCTGAAAAATAAGATCAATGATTATTTAAGCATTTGTTACAATCTTGGCACCTTCTTTTGTTGTATTGATGTACTGAGTCTTTATAAATCAGGTTTGAGGTTGTCATAATAAAAAATTTTACATGAAGGTTTGTTATGTTACGATATCTGGGTAAAGAAGAATTATACATGTCAGCTAGGGAAGAAAATGACTTGGTAACGTTCTCAGGCATGAAATCCAGGACATAAAGGTAATGCAGTCTGTGACAGTGGATTTAGCTGGACAGAGGTTGGATTTGTGCTCTGACCATTCTGCAGACTCCTGGACATCAGAATTATAATGTCAGACTCCATTTGTTTCCATTGAGTGCTTTGAACATGCCTTGATAGTATCTTAATACTGCCTTTAAACCTGGAGCTACAAAGACAGTGTTTAGTGACTGAATTCATGCGAACAGAAATAAAGTCAATGCGCCAGTTGCCAATTTAAGCCCCTCTTAACCGCACTCCGCAATAACCTTAAAGAAACACTGTTTAACCCACAGTATGTCTTTTTTTTTAACCAACAATTCCTTTTCATTTAGAAATGTGTGAAGCCTGGAGCTGGCAATAAGAAATGAAAATGTATGTCTTGATTCTGACCTAGATACACAATTATAATGCCCAGGGATGCTTTGTTTTTTTCACTCAACCTTTTACTTTTAAACTCTCTGTTTATATTTAAGGTATGTCTCTGTTAAAAGTGTTTGTATAAAATCTTTTGCCCATTGAAAATTGTTATTAAAGTTTTTAAGAGTTCTTCATATATTGTGGACCCATTTCTTATTCAGGTACTTGATTTGCATATATGTCCCTTTGATTTGCAAACATTTGGTCTTTCATAATTTTAAAGATCAAGTTTTTAATGGAGTTCAGCTTATCAATTCTATGTTCTTCTATGACTCTGCTTCGGCTAGTCTAAGACATCTGTGCCTAGAAATTTTATAGTTTTAGTTTTTACATTTAGGTACAAAGTCTGTTTTCGTTAATTTTCCATGTGTGAAGTATGAAGGAAACTTCACTTTTTTGAGTATGATTCTCCATCATTTGTTGAAAAGACTATTATTCTCTTTTTTACTAATTCATCTTGGTGCTTTTGATGAAAATCAGTGGCCTGTATATGTGTCTTCAAGTTCCTTCAATTTCTGAATCCCATCCTCTTCAATTGACACCCATACCACTCTCTTAATTACTGTAACTTAATAATAAGTCTTGAAATCAGGCAGTTTATGTTCTCCAACTTTGCGCTTACATTCTAAAGTTGTTTCTAGTAGTTCATTTGCATTTCTATATGAATCTTAGAATCACTGTTTATTTTTATAGAAATAATCTGGTGGAATTTTCATGAGAATTATGTTGTCTCTGTAGATCATGTTTTGGGGAATTTGACATTTTAACAATATTGAATCTTCTCATATTGTACTCAGAGACATGGTATACCTTGCCTTTTATTTAGATGGTTTCTCAGATGTTAATCCCAGCCATGTTTTATAATTTCTTAATATTTTATATTTGATTTTTGATGTTTTTGTAAACAGTATTTTTAAATTTTAGATTTCTTCTTGCTTGTTGTTTGTACCTGGAAATGAGAATGATTTTTACATATTGATCTCATATTTCACAGCTGAGCTAAACTCATTAATTAAAGTAGCAATTTTTCGGTAGATTTAATTGAACTTTCTACATAGATAATCATGTATTTTATTTTTTTTCCCCTTGCCAATGTGGATATTTTCTTATATTTTCCCCCTTGCCTTAGTGTTTTGTCTAAGAGTTTGCAATCAATGTTGAATCAAAGTGGTGGCAGAGGACGTACTCAACTTTTCTCTGATCCTTAGGAGGAAATCATTCATTATGTCATCATTGGTTCATCATTGACTGTAGTGTTGGGTTTTTTGTTTTCATGGGGAGGCATAGATCAGTTGGAACATTCTTTTCCACTTTTAGTTTGTTGAGTTTTTACCATGAATGGGTGCTGTTGTTGCCAAGTGCCAGCAAGTCAGTTCCAACTCATAACAACCTTGTATAAGGTTTCCAAGGACATCTGGGATTTGAACTTCTGACCTTGTTTTTGTAGTCTAGTGCTTATCCTATAGCACCACAGGTGCTGGATAGTCTCAAATGCTTTTTCCCTGAGCCTTTTGACGTGATCATAGGATTTTAAAAAATGTATACATTGTCTGTTGCTGGATAAAAAATTAGCTCACGATTTAGCATCTTAAAGAAGCATTTTTAATTTCAGTTTCCATCCGTTACGAGTCTGGTGCTCTTGAGCTGGTACATTTTTAGCTAGCTAAGGGTGTCTCATGAGCTCTCAGTTAAGCTGTAGACTGAGGCTGTGGTCACCTTTGAAGACTTGATTCTCTGTCCTTCAACACTTTGGCTTCTCCACATGCTTGCCTTGTGATTTGATGGTGAGCTTCCCTTAGCCTACTGACCTAAGAGAGTGAATAAAGGGAGAGAGCACCAATACAAAAACCACTTTTTGGCATCTTTCCTCAGAAATCATGTCTCATGATTTCTGACGCATTCTTTTTATTAGAATTACATCAACAAATCTAATCAGAGAATATGAAATAAGCTCATATTGGAGGTGAATATCCTTGGGGACCATGTAAGAGACTGCCTACTATCATCTGCTAAATAGCGTATTACATATTTTCAAAGTTAAGTCAAACTTGAGATCCTGGGGTAAGTAATACTTTGTCCTGATTTATTATTCTCTTTATATATAATTGGATTCAGTTTTTTGAAAAGCTGCCCACATTTTTGCTTCTGTGTTCATAACAGAAATTGATCTGTAAGCTTCATTTCTATTAATGTCTTTGATGTGGCTGTTGAAATGATGCTGGGCTCCTAGAATGAGTTGGAAAATATTCCCTCTTCAATTTTTCTGAAGAGTGTTTGTACAGTTGGTGTTGTTTTCTTAAATGCTTGATTGAATTCTTTGTGGCAAGGTTATTCACTAAACTCAGATCCTTTAACAGATAAGGCCTATTCAGATCAGACCATCTCTTTCTTCTTGAGTAAGCTTTTTTTTTTTTTTTTTTTTTTTTTAAGGAATTTGTCTGTTTCATCTAAATTGTTAAATTTCTGTTATAAAGTTACATAAAAGTCATAGTATCTAAATTGTTATTAAGTGCCATTGAGTCGGTTCCCACTCATTGCAACCCTGTATAGGGTTTCTGAGGAATGACTGGTAATCTTAAACCACCAACTTTGCTGTTCAAACTGACCTTTTGGTTGAGTGCTTATCTGTAGCACTACACCAGGACTCAGCTAATCTGTTTTCTCTTATCCTCATCAGTCTGACTCGGTTTATCATTCCTTTTGATCTTCTCTGAGAATCAGCTATTAAGTTTCCTTTTTTCTTTATTGTTTTTTGTTTTCATTGATTTAAACTCTTGATATCTATTACTTCCATTCTTCCTCTTACTTTGGGTTTCATTTGTTCTTTTTCTAATATTTTTAGATGAAAGCTAAGGCCATTGCTTTAAGACCTTTTTTTTAGCTCTGGTAGCGTAGTGGTTACGAATCGGGCTGCGAACCTTAAGGTCAGCGGTTCGAAACTACCAGGTGCTCCGCGGGAGAAAGATGAGGCTTTCTACTCCCGTAAAGATTTACACCCTCGGAAACCCTGTACAGGGTCGCTATGGGTCGGACCCGACTCGATGGCACTTAACAACAACAATACATGCATTTAGTACTATAAAGTTAACTGGGTAAAGTACTGTTTTTACTGCCTCCCATATGTTCTAGTATTTTGTGTATTTATTTTCAAGATACGTTTTAATTTTCTTTTTATTATTTTAATTTCCAATATTTGCTGTTGTCTTTATTTTTATAAAGTCCCCGTCTTTTATCTGGCTCCATTTGAAGGTATTCTGTTTAGCAGTAATCTTAAACTATTTAATTACAGTGTTTCTTCATGTAGGCTCTCAGTGTTTGTTGTGTTGCCTTCTTGGGTTCATGTAGACACATGATTCCATTGCCTCAGTGATGTGGATGATTACTTTTCAATTGCCTTCACATCCTTAAGAAGAGTTTATCAACCCTTTAAGAATATAGAATACACGTAATCTATTTCTTATAAATTGTTAGCTTTAATCATGAGTAGGTGACTTGGCCTTGAGGTTTTTCAAGACAACTTGAGCAGTTTTGTGATGTGCTTTTAAAAAGTATGCTGATTTCATCTGACTAAATTAGAATTCATGTCTGCTTAGTAGTTGAGACATACTTGTGGTTCGCAGTCCAGTGCTGATCCTGTGGAAACTTTTTACATAAAAAGGAAAAAAAAAAAAATTCCCAAAGCAATTTCATTTAGAGTTAGCTTTTATTTGGAGAGAGTAATAAAATTACCTAGCCTTACAGACAAGCTAGAGGCTATAATGTTAGTTAATAAGGACAACACAATCTCAGAAATGTAGGGAGAACAAAAGGTTAGAATATAAAATAGAAAACGAGGAAAAGACAGACCAGAATGAAATGAATTGAGAACATTGTGCAGATTATGGAGGTTAAAAAACACCTGACCAGTATAGGGGAGCAAATAAGGATCTAGTGGAATGGTGTAAACAGAGCTTGAAAATGAGTATTATTCACTGTATGTCTTTTACAATATTATTCCTTTTTATCCACCCTGTTTGGAAAAAAAAAAAAAATTAAGCTGATGTAGTTTTTGGGTGCATTTTTTGAAAGTGAAATTGGTACACTATCTAGAGAATCATAAATCGGCTTGCCTAGTGATATGAAAGTTTAAGTGCCCTGTTCTGATTGTAATTAATTTCCCCCCAGATATGTGTCACAAAGATGTCTACACGGAACTGCCAGGGAATGGACTCTGTGATCAAGCCACTAGACACAATTCCTGAGGATAAAAAAGTCCGAGTTCAGAGGACTCAGAGCACTTTCGACCCTTTTGAGAAGCCAACTAATCAAGTAAAGAGGGTCCATTCAGAGAACAATGCTTGCATTAACTTTAAGACATCTTCTGCAGGGAAAGAGTCACCTAAAGTTCGGAGGCACTCCAGCCCCAGCTCGGTAAGTGGGTCTTCTCTGTCACTGGATCATCAGAGGAATGTGGCTCTCATAGTGGCAGGCAGAGTTGGGAGACAGCAGGTGGCCTGGTCAGTGCATTATTATGCATTGTCTCCCAGGGTGAGTTCATGTTTTGGAAAAGAGAAGAAGAGCAAAGAACTTACAGGCTATTTACTCATAAGCATCCAGAAAGGAAATGAGAAATGATTTAGCCTTTTTTTCTTTTGAAAAAAAATTTTTTTTTCTTTTTCAAGCTGTTTTCACTTTAGAGGAATTAATAATTAAAAGTCCTATCTCAAATCCTTGGAGAACTTTACTGTGTTTGCAGGCAATTGAAATAGTTTTGAAATGGGGGGAAATCCACACAAAAAATTCATTTTAGAATAAATGTTAAGATTAGTTTATTGTCCTAAACCAGTTTATTTTATAAATGTTTAATTTATAAATTTTTATTATATAATTTTTTATATTTAAATTAAAAAAATTTTTATAATATAAATTTAATTTTTTTATTATATAAATTTTTTAAAATTTAAGAACTAGGCATTGAAACTAATTATTTTGAAGAGAAATCCTTTTCACAGTAGTGACATTTTCGAAACAAACCAAATCAAGGCAATTCTTGAGAATTGAACTTATGAAGGCTGCAATTTTGAGCCGAACCTTGAACCTTGCCTTTTAGCTGGTTTTTGTCTACTTAAGCTTATGTTTCCATGAGTGGCCTGCACTTAACATTGCAAAAAACATTGTGATCTTTGAAATTTGATACTTTTCTGATTTAACCTAGCACTTAATTTCACATTTGATTTCAGAGGTTTTAAATTTCACAAGGGCTGAAACAGAGCAGTAAATACTGAATGCTACCTGGTATGGGGCTGTGGGTTAATGCTCCAGACTGCAAAGCCTTTGAACTGCAAGGTTGGTGGTTCAAGTTCACCAGCTGCTCCTCCGAAACTCTATACAGGGTCGTTATGGGTTGGAATCCACTTGATGACACTTAACAACAACAATAGCAGAATATTGACACTTTAATTTATTAATCTGTATGGCACTGCATAGATCTTGTGTCACATTTTGTGGATGGAACTAAAATATGTACTAACTATGCAAAAATATTTAATTATCGGGTTTTCTCCAGTGGACACACATAATCTTAACTATGAGTATAAGGTAGGATTCACCTAGGCCACAGGTATATCACTAACTTCTAGGAGAATTTTTAGATGTAGTACTATTCAGAAGAAAGAAAGGAGTTATTGAGAATGACCAAACTCTTGGAATCTTGGTGTTTTTCTATAGGATAAGTGTAAGTACTAACCTAAAGGTTGGTGGTTCAAACCTATCAGCCGCTCCTAGGGTTTCCACTGAGAAGCTGGTGAATTTGAACTGCTGATCTTTTGGTTAGCAGTCCACAGCTTATCCTACAGTGCCATACCAGGACTTCATTTTATTACATGTAGTTTTTGTTAAGTGCCATCGAGTTGGTTTCCAACCCATAGCGACTCTGTCTAGGGTTTCCAAGGAGCAGAACCACTGATCGATCTTGTGGTTAAAACCGACTCTGAAGTCCAGCACATTAACCCACAATGCTACACCATAGTTATCTGAAATTATACTTTTCCTGTCCCAGGCATGTGGTTTCTTTTATAGTAGGGTGGTGTTTTGAAACCAAGATCTGGTGCTCAGTATTCTTGTTGTACTGGGGAGTCCAGTCTTGTTTTTTAAAAGTCAGATTGTATATCATAGTAATAAAATGGTAACAGTAGGTTTAAGATATTCACTCTTAATGTCTAATAAGGAACAAATTAAATTTTTCATCAAGTAAAATTGAGAATATAATGTCTGATGTGAAATGTATTTCTTAAAATGTTTTATTAAAGAAATTCTTGAACATAGTTTAAAAGATGCAACAGTAAAGGATTCTGGAAAGATGGTAGTGGAGTAGGTTTTGAAACTCCTTATTTGATTAGACAGAGTAATGAAAACTAAGACTAGCAGGTAACATCCACAGAAAATACAGGTAATAATGTATTCCCAAGAACTTTATAATAAGAGTGGGTAGGTATAAACCAAGCACGTTTCAAGAACTATGTAATATCAGAAAATGTGCAGGAGGAAGATGGAAAATGCAAAGAAATTTGGAACCACTGTCAGAGTCAGAAAACCCCAAAATTGCCAGTGCGTATACAATAGTAGTGACGGTGGAACACTGAAAACATATAAGCAAATAGGAGAGACTTTAATAGTGAGTGTGAGTGAATAGAAGGAGCTCATGGTATTTCAGCGGTTCATAGATCTTCTGTGATTTCTGTGATTGTTAAATACAGTTGGATTTTGAATCCTTAATGACCTGTATAGGGTTTCGACTGGTAAGTTTGAACTGCCCACCTTGCAGTTAGCAGTCCAGTTCTTATCGGACAGCCTCTATCAGGACTCCTCTAATTTTGGATTATTTGTACATGTGCTTTTTTCTTTGTGGGATCTTGTAGGGCTTTCGTTTTTTCCCTTGTTGTTATTGTTAAGTGCCGTTGAATCAGTTCTGACCCATAGCGACCCTGTATAGGGTTTCCAAGGAGCGACTGGTGAGCTTGAACCACAAACCTTGCAGTTCAAACGGCTTTGCAGTCTGGCGCATTAACCCACAGCACCACACCAGGACTCCCTTTTTTTCCTTAGTGTGGTCCTTTTTCCTGGTATTCGGTGAGTCTTTTCAATTTTGAAATTAATTTCTTTCAGTTTCTGGAAATATTCTTTTGTTAATTTGTTATTTTTGTTTTCTCTGTTTTTTTTTTTTTTTTTTTCTTCTTTTGTTGTATGTGTATGTGTGCATGTTATTTATTTTCTGTAATTATCCTCCAGACTTGATAATTTAATTTTCTTATCTTTTCCCTTTTTTTTCCCATCCTTTTCCTGTGTTGTGGGCATTTAAAAAAAAAATGTTTTATTGTGAATTATGTGATAGTTTACGTGGGAGAACATTAGCTTTACATTGATCCTATCGTGTATCGTTTCATTGACATGGGTACAATCCCCTTCATGCATCATCAACCAACTAAAGGGTTGCCTACAAGCCTGCCTGCCCCTCTTCCTCTCTTGGTTTAGAGTTCCCAGATGCTCAAGTCTCTCCACGTCATGGTCTCTGCCTCCATCTCTGGCAACCCTGTTTCTCTGGGTAGACTCCCACTCTCCACTCTTCTTCCTTGATGATCCCAGGGACTTCTACTCCTGGACTGCAAAGTCAGCCAATCCTTTGTGGGTATTTTTATTGGATTTAGTTTTGATCACTTAAATTGCATTTTAAATTGATTCTATTATATGTTTTTATATTTATTTATTTTTAAGGAGGTCTGGTAACATCATGGTTACGAATTGGGCTGCTAACCCCATGGTCAGCAGTTCAAAACTACCAGCTGTTTTGTGGGAGAAAGATCAGCCTTTCTGCTCTTGTAAAGATTCACAGCCTCGGAAATCCTATGCAAGGTTGCTGTGTTGAAACTGACTCCATGGCACATAACCACCACTAGCAATATATGTTTTATTTTCAGGAGCTTTAATTTTTTTAACGCTTTCTTTAAAAAAAAAAAAAAAAAATCTGTTTCCATGAATAACTTCTCTTCTCATGTTTCTGATGATATTAAATGCATCTTGGAGAATTTTAGATTTGTGTGTTGTATACTGCTTGAATTGTTTGGAGTTTGTTTCCTTTGAGCTCCTTATATTCATTACACTGTTTGCTCTCTGCTTTTCCTGTTGAAATTTTTGGAGAGGCTGGTGTACCTGTGGGGCAGAACTTTTGACTTGCTTCATATTTTGGCTAATGCACTGAAATGCTGATTGGAAGCTCTCTGTGCCTGAGCAGGCTCTTCAACTGGTGGGCCTGAACACAGTGTATATCAGTTAAGACCTAGTCTCTGCATTGGCGTGTTGCTGTTAAATGCAGTCAAGTTGTCTCTGACTCAGAAACTCTGTATAGGAGTTCTGAGGACAGATTTTGTGGTTAGCAGTCTAGTACTTATCCTACAGCGCCACACCAGGACCAAAAGGTGTGTGATATAGGTTGTTTTCTTGCTTGGTTAGTTCCCCCAAAGCAGATTTACTAGTCTGTGTTTTAGGATATACAAGTCTAGTTACCATTATCCCAAGACATGCATAAAAGGGGCTGCTGAGGGTTTTCACTGTTCTCTATGCAGACTTCCCCTTGATTTGTTTTCATTCATTATGACTTTTTATTTTTTTTTATTTTTTATATATATTGTGAATGGAAGACTTATAGAGCAGATCATCAGTTTTACATTCAACAAATCATATACTTTGTTTCAGTTCAATAATTGCAATCCCCTCCATGTACTAACAGTTAACAGTATTTACTCTATTATTAACTCTTGCAGTCCTCCCTTTGTCTCCTGCTACCTCCATCTTTCCTCTGCCACCCTCCCTCTTGTTGTATAAATCTTTGTTGGAAGAAGTATAGCTGGAATGCTGTTTAGAAGCCAGGATGGCGAGACTTTGTTTCTCATACTTCAGACATATTATCAAGAGGAGGACCAGTCCCTGAAGAAAAATATCATGCTTGGAAAAGTGGAGGGTCAGCTAAAAACAGGAAGGCTCCCCCAATGAGCTGGATTGTCACAGTGGCAACAGCAGTGTATACAAGTTTAACAAGGATAAGTCAGGATGTGACAGGACTGAGCAGTGTCTTGTTCTGTTTTTCATAAGGTAATTCTGAGTTGGAACCAAGTTGATGGCACCAAACAACGACGAATGTCATATATACATATATGTATATATATATGTAGCTATGGTAGTAT